CCGTGCCTTGTACTATTGTCCATCACTCCCGTGCCTTGTACTATTGTCCATCACTCCCGTGCCTTGTACTATTGTCCATCACTCCCGTGCCTTGTACTATTATCCATCACTCCCGTGCCTTGGTTTGCTTCCCCCTTGTAATTCCGTTCGTCCTTGAATATCCGTTTCTCTTGTGCCGTCAGCATCGGAAAAGATCGGTACAAAAACTTTTAAACTTATATACAACCTGATTTTTTTAAAATAAAACAGAGAGAGATAGAAAGAAGGGAAGGGAGCGGGGTAGCTCGGATGATTCAGGCACACATTAAACATTGATTATTTCATGCTTGGAAATAATTTTAAAATATAAACTTATGTTTAATAATTAAAATTAGTTCTATACTAGGTGTAAAATACCCTTAATTCCTCCCTGAATCAATTCTCATCTGTTCTATGTTCTTCCCTGGCCACTTTCTATGCTATCCCAAGAGCAGGAAACTTGAAAACACGAAAACGTCGCATACAAACACTAGTAATTAAATCGGCCAACAGGGACGAATGTCATTTGACACAGTATTTTAGATGTACATGTGCAGTGTGTGTGCTGCAACTTTCACATGCATGATATAAGCATTGATATTAACACGAGAAGCAACTATAATCCAACTGGTAAGTATGTGTCGTCAATCCGATCGTGTGTAGACACAAGAGCTGGGTGAACCAAGAGGTGTTTGGGCCTAAACGATCACCCGAGGGAATTGGCAATGCCTGATCAAATCCAAGGCGACTACATTGCGTAATGGGACCGCCTGAAAAGTAAAACATTTGAAACACCCTTTCTTGTCAACGCAGACGTTTTTGATGAGTCTTCTACAACATCAAACTGAACATTTATCCTGATAAATCCTCAGGATCCTGAACATTTATCCTGATAAATGTTCAGTTTGATCCCGATCCCATCTTTTTTCCACCAATGTAGGTTCTTTCTCTTTTCCTGCCTTATCTGTCTCATCCTCCATATCTGTACTAGTCCGCAAAACACTAATTATGTGTTGAATAGACTTCAAGCCCGACTTATAAACTATAACTTTAACTGTAAAAAGAACAACAAACTATCAGTCATGTTAACGTTGAATAGAATCTTAACAATTTATGACAATGACTAGAAACATATATACAAATGACCTTCGAACATTTTTAAAATACAAAAAAATATATCCTTACAACTAAACAGAAAATCACTCTGGAAACGCTGCACTTCATAAATATTACATATGAATATTTATTGAGATCTGTGAAGGACAAATCGTGGATTTCTTACATGTATTGAACCAGTGGATACCTTACAAAACCACTTAATTTATATCTTTATGTTCCTACAGGAATTGAATAATGGAGAAACGAGAAAGCAAAAATGACATTTCTGAAGTTCCCAAAAAATAGGGCATTTTCTGAAAATCAATTATAAAAATTCTAAATTGCGTTCCGACACCACTTTAAAGGCTCTGGAAATTTTATTCATATATCAAAATTGTCATATTTTATTTAAATTAAATGAAGATTTGTTTATTTATATTGAAAAAGGCCCAGACAATAACCCAATTCCACATTAGTTAGAAGGAAAATATGATGTGGAAAACGGTTATTGTCTGGGTTTTTTTCCAATATAAATAGTCAAAACATTTTTATTTGTTTTAAATATCAAAAGCATCAACTATGAAACGCTTTCACTGATTGGCCAGTGCATTTACCGTTGTAACGCGTTAGAGGTGAATTTTAACGCGTAACTGTTCATCTCTGTATCGTCTAGTCATCAGTTTCCACGCGTTATGTATTTCCGCGCAGCCATTTTATCAAGCTATATCTCGTAAATACGTGACCTGCTGGACACAACACAAGGATATTTTAGACGTTTGGCCGGCCATCGTCTGTAAACTAACACAAAAATTACCGGAAGTTCGTCCGGAAAACATAAGAAATAAATATGCAGTTTTGCTTAATGCACTTTTTATCTTGCAAAATGAGCCCATACCTCAAAAAACGGTGATATATTTCATTCATAAACCGGTCTTTTTTGTAGTCTGACAAACGTACGAAAATATCGTATGCAAATGAGGCCACATCACCTCGCCGATTTTTTTTCCACTTCCGAAGAGCCAAGGACATTCTTATATCGATAAACAGTGTTTTTAATGAAACGTAAACCTTGTAATGCTTCCAATTTTCACCAACTTTAAAACAGAACAAAATGAAAAATAACTTACCATCAACAAAAGCCGATATAAAACTGCAGAAAATATTTTTATTCTATATTATAACCAGGGACGTATAACTGTCCCTGTTATAACTTAATAAATATAATAAATAATTTAAAAAAAACATGAATTCGTTCAATTTGACATCTTGAAAAATCAATTAAAAATGTGAAATTTAAAAAAAAGTTGTTTTGATAATTAATTTGACGATCAAAGGTATGTTCTTGCAGGTCACTGTAGAGAAATTCTTTTTAGTGTAATCGAGTTATCTTTCTTTGAACACTAAGTCAAAATAGACACATGGAAACATATGACGGCTACTTCGTACATTCCGACGGGAGAAATTTGTTAAAAATTGTTTGTTCTGATTTGTTTAAAATACAGTTTTGTGTTGCCTGTTTTTTGTTTCCATTAGTAGATTGTATCAGGGATGTGAAGTGGACTACACATCCCTGCCTTAGCTGTGTTTACTGAGGCGTGCTGTTGTTGGTAAACAGTCGAGTAGCCATGGACGCTCTTACCGAGAATCGGCACACCGATAGACACACGGAAGGGCGGACATGGCTCACTGGACTAACAGAATGACACGTGCTGTCATAAAATAGTCAACAGACACATGTTTTAGAATGGCGAGCATATTAAACAGGGTGTCCGAGGGATGCCTGGACGAGCTTCCGTCCATGGAATCCTCCATCGTCCGTGTTTTCTCGAGCTCCACGTTCACCGGTGAGAACGTCAATATTATAGGCCTAACCGTGTTTGTAAATAATGTCAGTTATAGTTTCGCAATGACACGTTCCATGTGTATATGTGGGTGTTAATTCATTCAGTGTTGGTCTGGAAAGTATTTGACTTTTAAAAAGCTTAATAATTAAATCCTTATATATTTCTTTGTAAGATTTGACTGTACCACGGACTTGGGTAATCTAATTCCGGGACTGTGCATATGATTAAGGTCGCCTTCCAGCTTCGAGCAAGAGGAAATTTCCCTTTAGCTCAGTGGTAGAGCGTCCGACTAGGAACCTGGAGATCGAGGGTTCGATCCTGCTGGAAGCACACTATATTCTCTTTCCTGTTACAAGTATAATAGTATATTGTTAACCTAGAGCGAGAAGATATTTAAAACCTTTTATACACATAGACTGACACTATGATTTGTTGATAACAGGGCCAATTGTTTCTCTGATAGATTGTCTCGAAGCAGTTAAATATATGATATATATATATGTTCATCTTTTGTTTGTAATAATTATACACAGTATGGACAACAGGCTTTGTCTCCTCTGCACACAGTATTATATGTCTATGACTGAGATATATACATTGTATATATATATATATAAACACTTGAAGGGAAGTAATAAGAAACTATTTTTGTCATTTCTTTTATATCTAACCATCACATTAAGGACTTTAGATGGGTTTTTTTCAATATTTAATCTATTAAAAGGACTATACCCGGCCTTGGTTTGAATATTTGTAGATATGAGTGACCTTGGTTTGAATATTTGTAGATATGAGTGACCTTGGTTTGAATGTTTGTAGACATGAGTGACCTTGGTTTGAATGTTTGTAGATATGACTAACCTTGGTTTGAATGTTTGTAGATATGAGTGACCTTGGTTTGAATGTTTGTAGATATGACTGACCTTGGTTTGAATATTTGTAGATATGACTGACCTTGGTTTGAATGTTTGTAGATATGAGTGACCTTGGTTTGGATGCTTGTAGATATGAGTGACCTTGGTTTGGATGTTTGTCCACATGAGTTACCTTGGTTTGGATGTTTGTAGAGATAAGTGACCATGGTTTGAATATTTGTAGATATGACTGACCTTGGTTTGAATGTTTGTAGATATGAGTGACCTTGGTTTGGATGTGTGTAGATATGACTAACCTTGGTTTGAATGTTTGTAGATATGAGTGACCTTGGTTTGGATGTGTGTAGATATGACTAACCTTGGTTTGGATGTTTGTAGATATGAATGACCTCGGTTTGGATGTTTGTCCACATGAGTGACCTTGGTTTGGATGTTTGTCCACATGAGTGACCTTGGTTTGGATGTTTGTAGATATGAGTGACCTTGGTTTGGATGTTTGTAGATATGAGTGACCTTGGTTTGGATGTGTGTAGATATGAGTGACCTTGGTTTGGATGTTTGTAGATATGAGTGACCTTGGTTTGGATGTTTGTAAATATGAGTGACCTCGGTTCGTATGTTTGTCCACATGAGTGACCTTGGTTTGGATGTTTGTCCACATGAGTGACCTTGGTTTGGATGTTTGTCCACATGAGTGACCTTGGTTTGGATGTTTGTAGATATGAGTGACCTTGGTTTGGATGTTTGTAGATATGAGTGACCTTGGTTTGGATGTGTGTAGATATGAGTGACCTTGGTTTGGATGTTTGTAGATATGAGTGACCTTGGTTTGGATGTGTGTAGATACCAGTGACCTTTTTTTGGATGTGTGTAGATATGAGTGACCTTGGTTTGGATGCTTGTAAATATGAGTGACCTCGGTTCGTATGTTTGTCCACATGAGTGACCTTGGTTTGGATGTTTGTCCACATGAGTTACCTTGGTTTGGATATTTGTAGATATGACGGAGGAGAGGAATTATCTGATGAAGAAGTCCATTCCTAAAATTCGAGATTATTGTTTCATGAAAGGGCTGACATTTCAGGTGAGTTTGTTTCATATAGTTAACCCTTTCACCCCTTTGTAACTTTAGTAGACTCTACCATGCATTGATCTTGATGAGTCCATTTTGGTCTACAGTGGTGAAAGGGTTAAACTGATTCATTGCATGCTGTTACATTATGAGGTTGAGACGTGTCTGATCTGTCAAGTTTTGTCAAACACATAGGAACTGTTCATGAACTGTGAAAATATATTTGATAGATTCTGATTGAATACCAAATTCAACAACATGCACCAATCATTGAGTGGGCCAAATATCTATCATTTGAAGTGATAATATCTTGAAAAACAAAGAGAGAAAGTTGTTATAAAACTAGGTGACAGCAACTTGATTTTGTATATTAACATGTTTTGATGAACTTTGCTATGAAGCTTGTGGACATGCGGTGGGGAGTTCGTGATGAGGCTTCGATTGACCACACAACAAATGAATTAGTCCTAGATGAGGCGGAAAAGTCTAAAAGGATATCGCGTGGACCCTACATGCTGGTAAGTACAAATGACACTGATTCTAGGGGAGTTGGACAGTGGTCCTGGGGGTGTTGGACAGTGGTCCTGGGGGAGTTGAACAGTGGTCCTGGGGGAGTTGGACAGTGGTCCTGGGGGAGTTGGACAGTGGTCCTGGGGGAGGTAGACAGTAGTCCTAGTGGAGTTGGACAGTGGTCCTGGGAGAGTTGGACAGTGGTCTTGGGGGAGGTGGACAGTGGTCCTGGGGGAGGTGGACAGTGGTCCTGGGGGAGGTGGACAGTGGTCCTGGGCGAGTTGGACAGTAGTCCTAGTGGAGTTGGACAGTGGACCTACAGAGGTGTATTTATTTTCGGTATAGGACTACTAATTGTTTGGTCTATTCTACTTTCAGGCGTTTCTTGGTGACAAGTACGGGAGTCGTCCAATGCCGAGCAAAATAGATGTTGGGGAATACAAGTTGATCCGGCGGACTGCAATGAAGCTTGGGTATGACGTCTCTCTGATGGACCAGTGGTTCAAGCGCGATGACAACGCTGAACCAGCGATATTTTATCTCTTACCAATCACCAAACTTCTACCCAACTATGACAATGACGTTGAAGGGTTTGAACAGCAACGCCAAAGTGTAGGTATCTTTTAATGTTAAATAGTTTAACTAATACCGCACTGTTTAAATACTAACCAGGTTGGTAACTGGTTTGTGTGACATTTATTGTAAATTACACATTTCAGTAAAGTTTCATTTATAAAGCTGGCTGAAATAGTAAAAATAGAAAACATCTCTCTGAAGTTCAATTTTATCGACTGTAATGTATCTTTCAAATATTGAAATTTCTCAAACTAAAACAAGCTTGAGCCAAATGAAGACACAGAACAGCAGTGAAAATGTCTGAAAGCTTGCACTTTTTAACATTTTGTGTTCCTCACAACATTTTTGGTCATATAAAGATATCGTAAGAGAAAAATTAAGTTACATTGATTTTTTTGAGTTTCTTTGTACTGTGTATGGAGGCAGTCAAAATCAATATGTCAGAAAATGTTAGCAGAAGTTACCATGTGTGTTACAGGACAGAGAGAAGTGGTCAAGTATAGACGCCAGGCTGACCAAAATGTTGCGGGGCGCTGCCAGCCAGGCGTATGACGAAGGCCTCATCGACAAGGAAACACGCCAAAAATACTTTCACTCAGGTATAACAACACTGATATAAACAACACAGGTAAACTGTACAAGTAAACAATTTTGCGTTCAAAACTGTTCTAAATGTGACTAGATTAATCGTGGTGTAAATTTTTCATTCGTCAGAAAAGCAACACCTTAGTCTCGCTTCCGCTACTTTATGGCGGCGAGACAAACATTTCTTTGCAGAGTCATATTTGTTATGATATTAATTATTCAGTACATAAATAAATATTCGCATGTAAATATTTTCGTGCTTGTTTACTCCACGCGCAAAAACACATGCATGTCACCTTTATAGAATACCACAGAGGTATTCAACACACAACACTGTAAGGGATTCCGTTAAGCATCACTGATCTTTGATTGTTTTTGGATTTTGTTCTTCACAGCCTTAAAGCACGGTTATCACAATCAAATATAGATCATTGAAGTTTGGTTGTCAAGGTAATGTCTGCTTGCTTGTTGGGCAGTAGTTGTACCCGTCAGTTTCTATTTATAGTAACGGAGGTGGAGATACAGTCTGGCATACTCAAACCAGAATCGGTCAAGGACAAGGTCATCTGTTACTGTCGCACCTTTTTGGACATCAACATTGAGGACAAACTTGCATGTAAGTGAAATGATTGTTTTGTGACCGTATCTGTCGACGCAGACTTCTGTTTGTAAGTGGAATGATTGTTTTGTGATAATATATGTGGACGCACACTTCTGTTTGTAAGTGAAATGATCGTTTTGTGACAGTATCTGTCGACGCAGACTTCTGTTTGTAAGTGCTATGATTGTTTTGTGACAGTCTCTTTCGACGCAGACTTCTGTTTGTAAGTGATATGATTGTTTTGTGACAGTATCTTTGGTCGCTGAAATGATTGTTTTGTGACAGTATCTGTCGACGCAGACTTCTGTTTGTAAGTGGAATGATTGTTTTGTGACAATATA